TCTTTAGATCCTTCCTTGGGCGTGAACACCTTCGTTGGGAGATTCTACTTCTCCGTATCAAGTATAATTCTCTCATACTCCTTTTGGTTCAGATCTGGTTTAGTTTATGGTTCAAGATTGATCATTGAAAATATGATTTTCTAAATAGGGAATGCGATTCCCAGTTGAAGGGAGAGAAAAATTTTTKAAATTCGCCCCCTTTTTCCACAATCTTTGGGTGTCCATAGGATGGATCTCTCATCCCTTCACTATGAACAACAACTTCAAGCTCACCTAGAAGGTTCTTTAGCCAAAGGACTTCAGCCACCCCATGTGCCATAGCTCTATACTCAGCTTCTGCACTTGATCTTGCTACCACACTTTGCTTCTTGCTCTTCCAGGTCACCAGATTCCCTCCCACATATGTGCAATACCCACTAGTGGACTTTCTATCATCCACARCTCCTRCCCAATCAGCATTTGTAAAGACTTCCACCTTTAGGTGATTGTGTTTACTGAACAGTAGGCATGTTCCTGGATGTTTCTTCAAGTATCTAAGGACCCTCTCTACTGCCTCCATGTGTGGCTTCTTAGGAGAGTGCATAAACTGGATAAGAACCCCAACTGAATAGGCAATATCTGGACGGGTCATGGATAGATAAATCAGCTTTCCCACTAACTTTTGGAACTGCTTCACATCTTTCAGAGGTTCACCAATACAGTCACCTAGCTTGTGGTCCACATCCATAGGAGTATCTGCCGGCCTTACACCTAATTTACCTGTATCCCGTAATAGATCAATGGTGTATTTCCTTTGAGAGACAAAGATACCCATTTTTTAACGCGCAACTTCGATCCCAAAGAAATACTTTAGGAGTCCTAGATCTTTCACTTCAAATTTGGATGCAAGGAATTGTTTCAAATTCTGTATCTCTGAGCTCCAACTCTCTGTAATGATGATATCGTTTATATACACTATCAATACAGAAACCTGCTCCTGACATCTCTTTACAAAAAGTGTATGATCAGACTAGCACTGTTGGAACCCCATCTCTTGAACTGCCATGTGAAACTTACTGAACTAGGCTCTAGGAGACTGTTTCAAGCCGTAGAGAGACTTCCGTAGCTTGCACACCTTGTTTTCACCTCCCTTGGCATAGAATTCAGGAGGTTGAACCATGTATACCTCTTCTTCTAAGTCACCATTCAGGAAGGCATTCTTTATGTCCAGTTGATGCAA